TAGAATCCAACGGATTGAGCTCTCAGGTATTTATAAATGTATCAGAAAAGGAGTGGGCTCTCATCCTATTTTGGAATCCAAAGGATTAAGATCTCCGAACTATTTATTAAAAAAGGATTAAGCCCTCCGAATAATTTGGAATCCAAAGGATTGGACAGCTGCAAACTATTTGGTTGAAATAAGCTGTGGTCTGGCCATTCGTTGTTTTTTCGTTATAAATTATAAATTAAAAATAAATGGATGTCCAGAGCCAACGAGTTCTACGTTACTGTGACGTGCCATTTTATAACAGAGGATTTTGAATTGCGCAACGCTATTTTGTCCACTGAAAAGCTCCTCGACGAAACGAGCCATTCTTCTAAAAATATTGCAAACTCTATACGCACAGTACTCGAGGAATAGAGAGTTTTAGGAAAGGTCACTGCAATGGTCACAGATAACGCCAAAAATATGATAAAAGCATGTGAGATACTACAAATAAGACATATTCCTTGCTTTGCGCATTCAATCAATTTGACTGTCCAGGACTGTTTGGCTATAGGAAAAGTTAAGCCCATTCTTGAAAAGTGTAAGCGCATTGTTTCCTTTTTTTTTAAAGTAGCACAATTGCGTATGCCAAGTTTAAAGAGGCCCAGGAATGCGAACGTGCTTATACATAGCTTAAAGCAAGAATGTCCTACAAGATGGAACAGCGCCTATTTTATGGTGGACAGAATTTTGATTACAGAGGTTGCCATAGCAAGTGTGCTACTAAACACGCCCAAAGGGTTAATGCCGCTAACATCTTTCACCTTTTGAGCATGCAACGGTACACACATCTTCGAGTACTGCTGTGACAGTGTCTTTGGTGATTCCGGTTGTTTGTGGGATTTTACACAATCTTACAGCCATGAAAACTAAACTACAGACTAAGGTGGGTCAAGATCAGCGTGACCGCGCCGGACCAAACGAGAAATACCAATTTGGTCTCAAAAATATACTATAAAATACTATTTCATATTTTACAAAATACCACTATAAATACCATTATATGTAATATGTAAAAATAATAATTGACTTATTATATATAGAAAAAATAAGGTTTTTACCATTACAAAAAATGTTTGTTTTTATTTCATTTTACAAGATTAATATTTCAGTCCAACATAAAACTAAAACAATATGCATTCGTATTCAATTCCAATATATATTTGAAGTCTTAAAATTAATTAAATGCTTAAAATTTATTTTGTAACATTTTCTTAAAATAAAATAATAGAGGAACTTCTTTGCCCAGTCATCGAGTAAGATGTTCTTAAAACAAAATAATAAAAGAACTTCTTTGTCCAATCATAGAATAACATGTTCTTAAAATATAATAATAAAGGAACTTCTTTGTCCAATCATAGAGTACCATGTTCTTAAAATATAATAATAAAGGAACTTCTTTGTCCAGTCTTGAAAGTTTCTTTTAAGATCGGAATATCACATTTAATTAAATTTACTAGCCTTCTTCGTCAGAGCTGCTTAAATTAAATTTGTTGAGATCTTTACTTAAAATTTGTTCATTGGGCTTAAAATTATTGCACCCATTTTCGTGCAACGATTGTTTTACATGTAATATATGTGATACATACGGTTTCGATTTTTAGTTTTTATTAAATTAATTTGGGAGAATATGCGTTCGCACGACGCATTAGAAACGGGCAAAATTAACATAGATTGAGCAAATTTCGAAATATTCGCATATTTATAGCAATTATTTATATCTTTTAACTGACTCAATTCGCACCAGAATGTATCGCAATTTAAGGTGCGATGCCTTTGAAGTCAAAAATAAGGCGAATTTCTTGTTTTTAGGGTTAATTTTGGTATGAGTGTAGGCTGAAGGCCTATAATAGGTCTAAATGTTGAATCAGTTAGAAAATTCTTTCAAACTAAAATTCACAAATTTCATAATAATGAAACTTGTGTTGTTTTGTTGTGCGAGCAGCACCAAAAACAATTTAAAATTAAATTAGATCTGAATTCAACACAAGACTTTATAAACTAAATCTTTTAGAACAAGGATTGAGCTCTCCTAATTATTTAGAATCCAACGGATTGAGCTCTCAGGTATTTATAAATGTATCAGAAAAAGGATTGGGCTCTCATCCTATTTTGGAATCCAAAGGATTAAGATCTCCGAACTATTTATTAAAAAAGGATTAAGCCCTCCGAATAATTTGGAATCCAAAGGATTGGACAGCTGCAAACTATTTGGTTGAAATAAGCTGTGGTCTGGCCATTCGTTGTTTTTTCGTTATAAATTATAAATTAAAAATAAATAATTAGAAATTAATTTAAAATACGTGAAATGAATAAATATTAAGTTTGAACATAAGAGAATCATTGAGCGTTTAAAATGTTTGGATTATTCTTTTGGTTCATCTTTTATAGGCTTTTAAAGTTTTAGGTTGGGTCCGGTTGAAAAAGATACGGTTCCAAATAACCGGACAAAATATGGGCAATCTGCTGTTTGGAACTATTTTGACAAATCTGCTGATAGCAAGACAGCCAAATGCATAAAATGTGGTAAAACCTACCAAACAAGTGGCAATACAACACACTTGTCTTGCCGCTTAAAAGCCATTCAGTCACAAAGACAGACGCCCTCAATTCTGTCATTCATTGACAAAAAATACGAAAAGTCGTCGAACCGCAAACAAAAATTGGACAGTGCCTTATGCTACTACATTACCTCAGACCTGTGCCCTTTTTCAGTGGTGGAAAATAAAGGAAAATAAATAAGCCTTCTTGATCCAAGGTATAAATTGCCTTCACGGACCACCTTAAGAAATGTTTCGATTTTAAATGCATACGATGAAAAGAAGGCCAAGTTGTCCGCCTTTTTAAAAAACGTAAGGCACTGTGCAATAACATCAGATTGCTGGATGTCCAGAGCCAACGAGTTCTACGTTACTGTGACGTGCCATTTTATAACAGAGGATTTTGAATTGCGCAACGCTATTTTGTCCACTGAAAAGCTCCTCGACGAAACGAGCCATTCTTCTAAAAATATTGCAAACTCTATACGCACAGTACTCGAGGAATAGAGAGTTTTAGGAAAGGTCACTGCAATGGTCACAGATAACGCCAAAAATATGATAAAAGCATGTGAGATACTACAAATAAGACATATTCCTTGCTTTGCGCATTCAATCAATTTGACTGTCCAGGACTGTTTGGCTATAGGAAAAGTTAAGCCCATTCTTGAAAAGTGTAAGCGCATTGTTTCCTTTTTTTTAAAGTAGCACAATTGCGTATGCCAAGTTTAAAGAGGCCCAGGAATGCGAACGTGCTAATACATAGCTTAAAGCAAGAATGTCCTACAAGATGGAACAGCGCCTATTTTATGGTGGACAGAATTTTGATTACAGAGGTTGCCATAGCAAGTGTGCTACTAAACACGCCCAAAGGGTTAATGCCGCTAACATCTTTCACCTTTTGAGCATGCAACGGTACACACATCTTCGAGTACTGCTGTGACAGTGTCTTTGGTGATTCCGGTTGTTTGTGGGATTTTACACAATCTTACAGCCATGAAAACTAAACTACAGACTAAGGTGGGTCAAGATCAGCGTGACCGCGCCGGACCAAACGAGAAATACCAATTTGGTCTCAAAAATATACTATAAAATACTATTTCATATTTTACAAAATACCACTATAAATACCATTATATGTAATATGTAAAAATAATAATTGACTTATTATATATAGAAAAAATAAGGTTTTTACCATTACAAAAAATGTTTGTTTTTATTTCATTTTACAAGATTAATATTTCAGTCCAACATAAAACTAAAACAATATGCATTCGTATTCAATTCCAATATATATTTGAAGTCTTAAAATTAATTAAATGCTTAAAATTTATTTTGTAACATTTTCTTAAAATAAAATAATAGAGGAACTTCTTTGCCCAGTCATCGAGTAAGATGTTCTTAAAACAAAATAATAAAGGAACTTCTTTGTCCAATCATAGAATAACATGTTCTTAAAATATAATAATAAAGGAACTTCTTTGTCCAATCATAGAGTACCATGTTCTTAAAATATAATAATAAAGGAACTTCTTTGTCCAGTCTTGAAAGTTTCTTTTAAGATCGGAATATCACATTTAATAAAATTTACTAGCCTTCTTCGTCAGAGCTGCTTAAATTAAATTTGTTGAGATCTTTACTTAAAATTTGTTCATTGGGCTTAAAATTATTGCACCCATTTTCGTGCAACGATTGTTTTACATGTAATATATGTGATACATTTACATTTTTAAAGCGGTTTCGATTTTTAGTTTTGATTAAATTAATTTGGGAGAATATGCGTTCGCACGACGCATTAGAAACGGGCAAAATTAACATAGATTGAGCAAATTTCGAAATATTCGCATATTTATAGCAATTATTTATATCTTTTAACTGACTCAATTCGCACCAGAATGTATCGCAATTAAGATTTTTAGTCAAAAGCATTTTAAAAATGTCGTCAGTTTTCATTGTTCGATACTCATTGTCAATTATTTGTGGATCATTGACAAAATCGGGAAAGCGTTCATACAGCTTGAACAACGAGTGACAATTTTGATTGTAATAATAATTTGGATCCAAAAAACTTAAAATTTTCAGAAAGTTATCTTGTAACGGTAATCTTTTTTTAGTTGTACGCATAACTCGATTAAAAATAACTGGCTACGTTTCAAAAAAGCCAATTTATGTTCTTTGCCCAAGCTATTTGTCGAAAGTTCAGTTGCCACTTTTATTCCGAGATACATGTCTTTTATATGTAAAAAATAAAATGTGTTTGTTGGCTCTATGGCATTTAAATCATATAACAAGCCAATATACTTTTGTAAAATTCGGACATAGTTTTATAGAAATAGTGTACAACAGATCGACTAGACTGGAATATAATATTGAATTTGTTCACTAAAGCAAGTATATAATCCAAAAATAATAGATAAAGTTCAACAGTTGGATTTTTTAAATTTCATATTCTTCTTGGAAGAATGCAATGAGCGCATCCCACTGTTCTAGTATGCGTGCCACACAAGAATGAAACGATAGCCAACATATCTCGTAGTGGTTAAGTATATTATGTGCAGGAGAATCTAAGAAGAATTAAATTTTTTTTTTAAATTTTCGTCGAAGCTTAGAATTTTTGAAAAGTAGTTATATATGTAGCTCTTTAATGGTTTGCTCTAAGTTTCGAGGCAGTTGCTTGCAAGGATAGCTTGAAGCAAGAGCAGACGAATGGCAAACACATTTTACAAAGAAACATGATTTGGTGACGTCTCGTATCTTCGTCATAATGCTATTGCGCTCACCATACTTCACTTTAGTAGTGTCTGCAGCAAATCCAATTATATTACTGATGTCAAAGCCATTAAGTTTGAGTCCATCGCTGAGTGCTGCAAAAAGGTCGACTGCTCTTTCACCCTCTAAGTCAATGGTGAACAAGAATTTTGTTTGCGCTGCACTGTCGAAATACATAACAGCACACGCCAAGACCATTGTACACGAAACATCAGTCGATTCATCAATGATTATGGAGAACACAGGCCTTCCCGCTGCAGAAACGCACCGTTTCATGCTAGAGATCAGTTGCTCCTTCATCACAGGTGCCAGTACATTGTACGTAAGCGAAGCTGCCCTTGCGCAATGGCACTATCGGGAAACGCATGCTTGATCACTTACAGTCAGCACAAAATTTATTCGGACACTGTCTATTATCAAGTTTAACAGCCTATTTGCAGGAATTTTCGTAATTTTAGCAGGTTTTTTTGTACGTATCATAGAAACAGTGATTTTCAGAAGACATTTCACAAACAAAAATTTAATTTTTTAAATTAGCCTTAAAAATATTGAAAGAAAAGCAAAAAAATTGCTAAAATGTTGCACAAAAATTATTCGTACATTTCTCATTTATTGTGTTTATTTCTGAACTCAACGGTAAGCGGTGATTATTTTTAAAGTAGTTTAGTTGAAATTACTTCGGAGTAATTTTCTGCATGATTTTTTTTTTGTTTATTGTTAGTTTTTATGTGTTTTTTTGATGCGATTGGTCAAAATGGAAGGAGTTTAAGATTTGCCACTAGATTTTCGAGGGCTTTTTGAGTGTAGGCTGAAGGCCTATAATAGGTCTAAATGTTGAATCAGTTAGAAAATTCTTTCAAACTAAAATTCGCAAAATTCATAATAATGAAACTTATGTTGTTTTGTTGTGCGAGCAGCACCAAAAACAATTTAAAATTAAATTAGATCTGAATTCAACACAAGACTTTATAAACTAAATCTTTTAGAACAAGGATTGAGCTCTCCTAATTATTTAGAATCCAACGGATTGAGCTCTCAGGTATTTATAAATGTATCAGAAAAAGGAGTGGGCTCTCATCCTATTTTGGAATCCAAAGGATTAAGATCTCCGAACTATTTATTAAAAAAGGATTAAGCCCTCCGAATAATTTGGAATCCAAAGGATTGGACAGCTGCAAACTATTTGGTTGAAATAAGCTGTGGTCTGGCCATTCGTTGTTTTTTCGTTATAAATTATAAATTAAAAATAAATGGATGTCCAGAGCCAACGAGTTCTACGTTACTGTGACGTGCCATTTTATAACAGAGGATTTTGAATTGCGCAACGCTATTTTGTCCACTGAAAAGCTCCTCGACGAAACGAGCCATTCTTCTAAAAATATTGCAAACTCTATACGCACAGTACTCGAGGAATAGAGAGTTTTAGGAAAGGTCACTGCAATGGTCACAGATAACGCCAAAAATATGATAAAAGCATGTGAGATACTACAAATAAGACATATTCCTTGCTTTGCGCATTCAATCAATTTGACTGTCCAGGACTGTTTGGCTATAGGAAAAGTTAAGCCCATTCTTGAAAAGTGTAAGCGCATTGTTTCCTTTTTTTTAAAGTAGCACAATTGCGTATGCCAAGTTTAAAGAGGCCCAGGAATGCGAACGTGCTTATACATAGCTTAAAGCAAGAATGTCCTACAAGATGGAACAGCGCCTATTTTATGGTGGACAGAATTTTGATTACAGAGGTTGCCATAGCAAGTGTGCTACTAAACACGCCCAAAGGGTTAATGCCGCTAACATCTTTCACCTTTTGAGCATGCAACGGTACACACATCTTCGAGTACTGCTGTGACAGTGTCTTTGGTGATTCCGGTTGTTTGTGGGATTTTACACAATCTTACAGCCATGAAAACTAAACTACAGACTAAGGTGGGTCAAGATCAGCGTGACCGCGCCGGACCAAACGAGAAATACCAATTTGGTCTCAAAAATATACTATAAAATACTATTTCATATTTTACAAAATACCACTATAAATACCATTATATGTAATATGTAAAAATAATAATTGACTTATTATATATAGAAAAAATAAGGTTTTTACCATTACAAAAAATGTTTGTTTTTATTTCATTTTACAAGATTAATATTTCAGTCCAACATAAAACTAAAACAATATGCATTCGTATTCAATTCCAATATATATTTGAAGTCTTAAAATTAATTAAATGCTTAAAATTTATTTTGTAACATTTTCTTAAAATAAAATAATAGAGGAACTTCTTTGCCCAGTCATCGAGTAAGATGTTCTTAAAACAAAATAATAAAAGAACTTCTTTGTCCAATCATAGAATAACATGTTCTTAAAATATAATAATAAAGGAACTTCTTTGTCCAATCATAGAGTACCATGTTCTTAAAATATAATAATAAAGGAACTTCTTTGTCCAGTCTTGAAAGTTTCTTTTAAGATCGGAATATCACATTTAATTAAATTTACTAGCCTTCTTCGTCAGAGCTGCTTAAATTAAATTTGTTGAGATCTTTACTTAAAATTTGTTCATTGGGCTTAAAATTATTGCACCCATTTTCGTGCAACGATTGTTTTACATGTAATATATGTGATACATACGGTTTCGATTTTTAGTTTTGATTAAATTAATTTGGGAGAATATGCGTTCGCACGACGCATTAGAAACGGGCAAAATTAACATAGATTGAGCAAATTTCGAAATATTCGCATATTTATAGCAATTATTTATATCTTTTAACTGACTCAATTCGCACCAGAATGTATCGCAATTTAAGGTGCGATGCCTTTGAAGTCAAAAATAAGGCGAATTTCTTGTTTTTTGGGCCTATAATAGGTCTAAATGTTGAATCAGTTAGAAAATTCTTTCAAACTAAAATTCACAAAATTCATAATAATGAAACTTGTGTTGTTTTGTTGTGCGAGCAGCACCAAAAACAATTTAAAATTAAATTAGATCTGAATTCAACACAAGACTTTATAAACTAAATCTTTTAGAACAAGGATTGAGCTCTCCTAATTATTTAGAATCCAACGGATTGAGCTCTCAGGTATTTATAAATGTATCAGAAAAAGGATTGGGCTCTCATCCTATTTTGGAATCCAAAGGATTAAGATCTCCGAACTATTTATTAAAAAAGGATTAAGCCCTCCGAATAATTTGGAATCCAAAGGATTGGACAGCTGCAAACTATTTGGTTGAAATAAGCTGTGGTCTGGCCATTCGTTGTTTTTTCGTTATAAATTATAAATTAAAAATAAATAATTAGAAATTAATTTAAAATACGTGAAATGAATAAATATTAAGTTTGAACATAAGAGAATCATTGAGCGTTTAAAATGTTTGGATTATTCTTTTGGTTCATCTTTTATAGGCTTTTAAAGTTTTAGGTTGGGTCCGGTTGAAAAAGATACGGTTCCAAATAACCGGACAAAATATGGGCAATCTGCTGTTTGGAACTATTTTGACAAATCTGCTGATAGCAAGACAGCCAAATGCATAAAATGTGGTAAAACCTACCAAACAAGTGGCAATACAACACACTTGTCTTGCCGCTTAAAAGCCATTCAGTCACAAAGACAGACGCCCTCAATTCTGTCATTCATTGACAAAAAATACGAAAAGTCGTCGAACCGCAAACAAAAATTGGACAGTGCCTTATGCTACTAAATTACCTCAGACCTGTGCCCTTTTTCAGTGGTGGAAAATAAAGGAAAATAAATAAGCCTTCTTGATCCAAGGTATAAATTGCCTTCACGGACCACCTTAAGAAATGTTTCGATTTTAAATGCATACGATGAAAAGAAGGCCAAGTTGTCCGCCTTTTTAAAAAACGTAAGGCACTGTGCAATAACATCAGATTGCTGGATGTCCAGAGCCAACGAGTTCTACGTTACTGTGACGTGCCATTTTATAACAGAGGATTTTGAATTGCGCAACGCTATTTTGTCCACTGAAAAGCTCCTCGACGAAACGAGCCATTCTTCTAAAAATATTGCAAACTCTATACGCACAGTACTCGAGGAATAGAGAGTTTTAGGAAAGGTCACTGCAATGGTCACAGATAACGCCAAAAATATGATAAAAGCATGTGAGATACTACAAATAAGACATATTCCTTGCTTTGCGCATTCAATCAATTTGACTGTCCAGGACTGTTTGGCTATAGGAAAAGTTAAGCCCATTCTTGAAAAGTGTAAGCGCATTGTTTCCTTTTTTTTTAAAGTAGCACAATTGCGTATGCCAAGTTTAAAGAGGCCCAGGAATGCGAACGTGCTTATACATAGCTTAAAGCAAGAATGTCCTACAAGATGGAACAGCGCCTATTTTATGGTGGACAGAATTTTGATTACAGAGGTTGCCATAGCAAGTGTGCTACTAAACACGCCCAAAGGGTTAATGCCGCTAACATCTTTCACCTTTTGAGCATGCAACGGTACACACATCTTCGAGTACTGCTGTGACAGTGTCTTTGGTGATTCCGGTTGTTTGTGGGATTTTACACAATCTTACAGCCATGAAAACTAAACTACAGACTAAGGTGGGTCAAGATCAGCGTGACCGCGCCGGACCAAACGAGAAATACCAATTTGGTCTCAAAAATATACTATAAAATACTATTTCATATTTTACAAAATACCACTATAAATACCATTATATGTAATATGTAAAAATAATAATTGACTTATTATATATAGAAAAAATAAGGTTTTTACCATTACAAAAAATGTTTGTTTTTATTTCATTTTACAAGATTAATATTTCAGTCCAACATAAAACTAAAACAATATGCATTCGTATTCAATTCCAATATATATTTGAAGTCTTAAAATTAATTAAATGCTTAAAATTTATTTTGTAACATTTTCTTAAAATAAAATAATAGAGGAACTTCTTTGCCCAGTCATCGAGTAAGATGTTCTTAAAACAAAATAATAAAGGAACTTCTTTGTCCAATCATAGAATAACATGTTCTTAAAATATAATAATAAAGGAACTTCTTTGTCCAATCATAGAGTACCATGTTCTTAAAATATAATAATAAAGGAACTTCTTTGTCCAGTCTTGAAAGTTTCTTTTAAGATCGGAATATCACATTTAATTAAATTTACTAGCCTTCTTCGTCAGAGCTGCTTAAATTAAATTTGTTGAGATCTTTACTTAAAATTTGTTCATTGGGCTTAAAATTATTGCACCCATTTTCGTGCAACGATTGTTTTACATGTAATATATGTGATACATTTACATTTTTAAAGCGGTTTCGATTTTTAGTTTTGATTAAATTAATTTGGGAGAATATGCGTTCGCACGACGCATTAGAAACGGGCAAAATTAAC